TATATATATATATATATATATATATACATGATTGCCTCTGTGTGTGTGTGTGTGTGGATGTGTGCTTATATCCTTGTTTCTCTACCCAGGCGTTGTTGGTGGATATAGTGCCCAGACCCCCTCCTTGTTTTGTTTTACCACCCGTCGCGCCAACTTCTGTCTGCGGTGTATTCCAAATTTATCCCTCTTTCTGCGGCTACTTCCGCTCAAGTTTGTCGCTGCCTCTCTCTCTCTCTCGCGCGCGCGTTGCGGTGCTTCACGAGTTTCTTTCCCGTTGCTGTCCACACTCTTGCATGCCGGTCTGCTTCATTGCCTGAAGGAGTTCTACCTCGGAGAGAGAAGTACATCTCGAAAAGCAAAAAAGAGAGAAAGAGAAAAAAAGAATCAAAGCCAGACTTTGCCTAATTTCGAGGGGGGTTTATTCTCGGAGGTGTCCCTGGGAGGAAGTGGTCTAACGTTGCTTCTCTGAGTGTGTGTGCGTCCGCGGGCCCCCAAGAGGTATGGAGCCAACGCTGATGAGCACAGACCGCAGCAACGGTGCGAGTTCGCCCGCAGCCATGGCGAAGTGCAACGGCAACGTGCCGAGCGACAGCGGCATCACTAGCAGCAGCAGCAACAGCAGCGTCCTGAAGAAGCGGATACGCCGCAGCAGCAGCGGCGGCGGTGGTGTGTGTCCCCCAGCAACAGCAAACGTGGTGGCGCTCCCACAGCAGCAACGTGTGACGCGAGCTTCGGCGGCGGAGAGGGAGACAGAGGATGCTTTCCCGTTGCAGCTGTCGAATGACCGCGTCACCAAAGACACAGGCGGCAACAAGGGCAGGGCTGAGCGAAACGCTGTCACATCCGTTACGTCGGCACCTGCATGCAACAGCAATGATGCCCCTGAGGAAGGCGTGGAGAATCCCACTTCTACTGCCACGAATGGCTCCCTGAAATCATCGTCTGAAATGAGGGCAGAACAAAGCGACTCACAGCAGCAGCAGCGACGACGACGACGGCAGTGGTGGTGGTGGCGGCAGCAGAGACGCCGGCGTCGTCGCAGCGCGAGCCAGGCCAACCGGCAGGTGGTGCGCAACAAGTGCGAGCCGGCGTCACAGGGGCGACTCTCACCATCAATGTGGCACAGTGCGCTCTACATGAACCCCAATGTGCGATGTGTTGGGAGCGATGGCTTGCCGTACAACCGCACGCTCAAGGAGTTGCTCCTCGCACGTGACGCAGCGCCAGCGGATCCCGATACGCCGTGCTTGGGGCCCTCATCCGCGCCGTTGTGTGTGTTGCTGGACTCTGGGGCAGACATAGGACAACTCCGCCCCCAGCTGCTGCGGCAGCAGTCGCAGGCTGGAGAATGTAGCGACGGCAACTTAAAAGCAACTTCTCCGATGATCACATTCACGTTGGATGGTGTGGCGACGCCAAAGACGTTCGCTGCCATAAAGCACCTGCATCAGCAGGAACTTGATACCGCCACGCTCCCTGCGTCTTGTGTAGCGGACGGCCACCAAAGCGGACGTGCCACACAACCGCGGCCGCCGCCACACGCGTTGCGCATGCAGGAGCTGCCGCACCAGTTCCTCCTCCGAAACTATGTGAATGGGTCTTTCCTCTACTACCGCCGGGCAGAGGACAAGCAACGCTTCTTGGGTTTCTGCCGCGAGATTCTGGCCAAGGCGCGGCCCATATTCGAGGCGGAGTCACTTTTTCCATGTATTGTGGCACCGACCTTTGTGCTTGGCGACATCCACGGCAATTTTGAGGATCTCGCTTTTTTTTTACGTAATATTCTTATATTTCACGATCTTCGGCTTACACCTGCAAATATCTTGTGCCTCGGGGATTACGTCGACCGTGGGCCGTTTTCGCTCGAGTGCCTCATGTTGTTGCTGTCGCTGAAGATCAGCCACCCGTCGAAGGTGGTGATGCTGCGCGGTAACCATGAGGACCGTGTTGTGTGTGGTGATGCGCTGACGTACGGCACTAGCTGCTTTCTTGCGCAGTGCGAGGGGCTCTATGGTATGGAGGAGGGCCGACAGCTCTTCAAGGAGGTGACAGCCCTCTTCCGTCACTTCCCACTTGCAGCGGAGCTCATCATTCCGACTGTACCGAACATCAACAGCAGCAGCTACCACTCCAACAACAATGACAGCGACGCCAGTGGTAACCCCGAAGGTGGGGAAGCCGTCGGAGCGGCACCCCACATGAGGCCGGCGTCACAGAATCCGCAGGGACGGCGAACGACGCACGAGGAGCGTGTGCTCTGCACCCACGGCGGCATCCCGCGTTTCTTCGGTCCGCCGAAGGACGACGGCAGCCTGACGTTCCTGCGCCACGATGACTTCCCGCGTATGCTGACGCTGTTCCCAAACAACCCCTCCGTGAAGGACGACCCGGAGGCGCAGATACAGCTGCTGAACACTGTTGGGCAAACACCTGCGTCGTCAACGACGACACCGAAACGCACCCTCAGCGATGCGACGCTGCAGAAGGCGTGGTTCATCGCGTTCGATCTCATGTGGTCGGACCCAACGAGCAGCGACCCCGGCGACGAGGCGAGCCATGCCGTGGTGGACGCCAGTGTGGGGGAGCGAGTGGCGCTCAACGAGTGGGGCTTCGGCGTGAACAAGCGCGGCAGCAACGTCTTGACATTCTCTGCTAAGGCGGTGGACACGTTCCTTCAGGCACACCAGTACAGCATGCTGTTCCGTGCCCATCAGGAGAAGGCGCATGGGCTGCGGCTTAGCAAGAGCAGCAAGGTGCTGACCATCTTCAGCAGCTCCAACTACCTCGGCCACGGCAATGGGGCGGGGTGCGTCGTGGTGGCCGCCGACGGAGAAATTCAGCTCGTCGAAAAGATGAGCAGCTGACGCACATGCACATTCACCGAGAGATAGATACAAATATATATAGACAGAGAGTGTGTGAGTGAGAGAGAGTGTGTGTGTGTGTGTG